TATATATATATTTATATATATATTTTCTCTTCTTCATTCTTAAAAAAATTATTTTGTTCTGCACATCTGCATATTCTGCACGTAGGATAGAATACTTCCCCAAACATACAGTATGTATGGTAGGAGTGCAACTCATAATTACATGCAGTTTCTGCACAAATATTTTAAAGAAATAGATTATCTTTGTTGTTTTTCAACAACATTTCAATACGGGATGGAGAAACCATTTGCAGTTCACTCAGTGATCATTTGTAAAATTCTTAAAAAACAGGAATTCATGGCTGTTTTTCTTTTTAAAATACAGCTACCAAGTAGACAATAAAGTGATACATTTTAGTATGACCTGCCCACAATGTGTGAACAAGATCTGACCCTTTTTATTTGGTTTTTCCCTACTTTTCCCTACACATGGCAATTTCAACATTATAAGCAAATTTCCAGTTTTATTTAGCTATAAATGCAAAAATTAGTAATTATACAGTATATATAATTCTGCTTTCATGGAATACTTTATTTTAAATAAAAACATTTAAGACTGCCTACTGACCATACAATCAAGACAAGAAAGGCACTAGAAACATAGACAAATCTCTCTCTCTCCCAAGAAGCATTTTTTGTTTAAATTTTAACTCTCTATTCTCTGACATGTAAAAATCTTTTTAAATTTAATTTTCATACACATTTTGAAAAATAAAGTTAGGAAATACTTAGAAAATCACTTTACATCTTTACCCAAATTCTTTTTTTTCTTTTTTCTTTTTTTTTCTTTTTTCTTTTTTTTTTTTTTGCACTTTTTGACACAGTCACTGCAGATTCTACAAAATCGAGACTACCAGACCTTCCTGTGTCTATCATCTTATTTTATCTCGGTGCAACAGGTAGAAAGATTTCTCAGTTTTACCCAAGGCAGGTATTTAGAAACCTTCATATAGTCATTTGCTAGAAAATGGCTTACAGCCCAATCTTTGGGGCAAGAGATATGAAAAGTATGTTTTCCCAAGAAAATAATATGCTTTATTCCCAGACGTGACTGGAAAGACCAGAACTTATGATATAAAAGCTTTCATCTATGCTGTCGCATCATATACAAAGGAACATGGTGATGGGTAATGCAAATCCCAAATCTATTAACAAGAAATGTATAACAGTGCATGATAAGTTAAATTTTCTTTATTGTTGTCCAACGCAGATCCTTTGGAGAGAAAAAAAGATCACAGTGCTTACCAGGTAACTGAACAGGTTAAGTCAAGGTAACTGTTAAAAGAAAGGGTTAGGGAGCAGTTCATTTTTTATGGCATCTTCTTGTATGGAGTTCTTAGCACTTGGGACAGGTCCTTTCCCCCCATTTTGTCTTTTCAACACGCTGTTATGTGTCATTCACCAGTCTGCTGTATTTAGCTTGCCTACCCCGGTGGAGCACTGGCCAGGGGAAGTGCCAGTGGTAGGAGCGAGGTACAATTCCTTGGACGTTCTTTTCAAAGTACTGGAAGGGCTTGTACCACCAGACCCTTGCAAGGAGGTTAGTTTGGGAAGCTTCTTTTAGCACCTGCACAGAGATAATTGGAAAAAATAATTAAGAAAGAGGACATTACTTACTCGTATGACTACACCGCACATCGCTTGCAAGCATCAGTGGTTTTCCAAAACTACGCATTTTGTTAACATTTCCAAAAATCTCCAAATATTTAGATTTCCAGGTAAATACCTCCCAGACAAATCTACACGGACAAAGATCAAGAGGACCCAAGTTCCTTTTCCATATCTTCCCTGCCCACACAAGCTGCTTTTCCAAAGTTAGGTTCATTGACGTTTCCCAGTCCTCCAACTACATCCTCCTACCCTTTTGCTTCTCCTAGCTGTGAGCAAGCCAGGTCTAACGGAGCTGAGACAAAAGGAGTGGGCAGCCATGAAGGGAATCACACAACTGTGATTGAATGTTGAACTGAATTCTTCTCAGTTATGTATTTGGTGGCAGATATACACAACAGCACACAAGTGATGCAAGGGCTTCACTGTGGTGTACTGTGCTCCAAGTAGCATAAAAACCCTTGCAATAATATATGACATTGTAACTAGAAGACCTTGATATGAACTAAAAAATCTGCACCACAAAGATAATGCAAACTTCCTATCGTCATATCAGACCTTTATCAAACATAATTAACTGGAGTCATATGCAACAGATAAGCCTTCCTCAATTTGCACAGAAAATATTTTAGACACTGATCTGTTGCTACAGACCTAAGAGAAATTATCCTGCCTTAATTTTCTTTTAACTCACTAGGTCTTTTTCACGCGTAATGGAATTATGCATTTTCTCTCATATTCCTCAGCAACGTAAACTCACTTTTTATTGATCTAGTTCACTAGCAGGAAAGTAAGAACAAAGAACTACAAGAGACCTCATTTAGACTTCCTCATCAGATCTTTGAAGCATTTACCCCTGCTCTCCGGTCGAGTACCTCAACACTGTAACAACCATGCTTTGCTACCTCCCATCATGTGCTGTGTTTCCTCCTATGCAGCTCCTTGTTCTCAGTATTTCCCGCATCACCCAATCTTTCTCATCTTCCTTGACACAGGTCTTAGAACAGAAGCAGCTTGTTCTACTCCACTATCCTCCAAAATGAAAATACTTATCTCTGTTAGGGGAACTTACTGCCATTTCGGAACACTTTGAACAAATGGATCATTTCTAGCAAGAACAGCTTGGCCTTATACTATTCTTCAAGACAGTCATAATCTAACTAAAGGGCCTTATACTATTCTTCAAGACAGTCATAATCTAACTAAAGGGTAGAAGCCACAGAACACAAGGAAAATCCAGTTACGAAAAACAAAAACACCACACCTACATGCCCACCTCTAATACCACAGAAATGGCCAATTGGCCAAAATTCAGAGGGACTTCAAAAATTGAAGTTACGCAGCCAAAGGAGAGAGGCCTGCCTGTCAGTAGGCCTTCAGATATTTTTTGTGGCCAAAATGCAAGATTAGCTCAACAGACGCGTCCTCTCCTTCCTGCAAACATAACATGAGGGGGGAAGAGAGGGACGCCCCACAAGACACTGGTGAGTCCACTGTTACTCCTGTGGAAAGGCTCAGAGTAAGGTGTGCATTTTCACCCACCACCACGCTACAATAAGAAGCGCGGAGCCAAACGGATCCAGAGACTGGAAGAAACTCACTTGCTGGTTGGCCATTGTATGATACCACCAGAAAAGTCGTGTAGTGATGTAGTAAGCCACCACCACGTCCACAGTGTAGTGGTCATGAGCAAGGAGGATGCAGAACATCCCAACCATGCTGAGCGTCCAGCAAAGCCAGTGATACCACCAGAGTCGCCGTGGAGAATCTGCAAAGAAGCACAAACGGTGATGACTTCAAAGCATAACATTATGAATGCTCAAGACCATTGCTATAATTAGTAGAGGACGCAGACTGCAATCCAGTGATGCCAGCCCTAAGATTTAGGGCAGGAACGCCGAGATCACAAAATAAGTATTGCTCTCTTAAGGAATAACTTAAAAGCCCAATAGATAAAGATCTAATATATCCTGGTCTCCAAAAGTAACTGTTTTGTACTCCAATATCGGTTCTACATAGATAGCGACCAATTATTCTTTCCTTTCACACAACCTGAATGCATACACTAAGGCCTGATCTTTGTAAAATCAGCAACATTGCATTTCGCATGACATCCGTATCTCTCTAGACTAAGAGACACTTGGTTAAAATAATATCCATCAGATCGGGTAGAAAACAGGTTTGAACTATATTCTAAGCAAAGTATTTTTTAAACAAAACGCGTGATTCAAATATCTAGGTGGTAAAATGCTTTACTCTGTCTCCAAACTTGTCTTTACCAGTAAACCAAGTTATTGCATTCCTAGTGATTTAAATGAAAAAGTGTGCATTTTTACTTGAATTCTATTTATGGATCAGCACAACAGCAATTCTTTAACGAGAAGGGAATTTATACAACAAGACTTTCAGCAAGAACAGCAATGAACTTACACTCTTTGATAAATAAGTATGTAAGTGTTAATATGACAGTGTGACCGCTGTATAGATAGTCACCACACATGTTGTGGGATCCTGTGATGGACAATCCTCCGCCAGCAATCAACTTCATTATCCTTCGCATATGAGATTCCCAGTCTCCAAAAAGCTAGCGGAAGAGTAAAATAAGATCACAGTAACATGTCAGTGCCAACCATTCAGAGTTTAAAGTACAGCCTTAGCGAGCAGCTCTGTCTTTCACCACCACCGGGGAGATGGTTTATTCTCTTTTGAGATATGTGAGAATTTAATCAGTAACATCCTATGACTTTTCCCAAAAGCTAGCAACATATTTCTAGAGGAAAAAAGACAGGAAATGAGACATGAGTTATTTTTGATTGATCCTTTGCATGTATTAGAGTGATAGTATTCATGTGAACACAGCAGCAGACAAGTCTCCTACATCCATCTGCCCAAAGTATTACTTTGTTTGTAGCATTCCCAAGACAGGAAATCAAGGAAATTATTAAAACTTTCCTATGAATACAACATACTGAGGATCTCCTGATTTTTCCTATGATCACAAAATAGATTGGAGGAGAAAAGGTAATTTTATTTACACCGATACATGTGCAGAGATAGATGTGCATGTCAGTATGTTTGTACGTATGTGTAAACTCTTTACTCAGCCACTTCCGGGGCAGTAATAAACACGATGTCTTTTCAGTGTAACACCAAGTCAAAAAAGTGGTTCCAAAGGTATTAAAATATGTCAACAGCTACATGCAGAGTGTCACAGTTATGGAAGAACAGGTAGGTGAGCAAAAATTGTTTTCTCTGGTATTCCCAAATACGTACTGCTGTTGCCATTTAAAGGCATAATTTTTTCAGAGGTTTTGCTGGCAGCCTTTGCTAATGTTTGCAGCTATGCAGCAGAATTATTTTGGTTTAGTCTTTTTTTTTTTTTTTTTTTTTTTAATTCCTTATATCCTTCTATTGGGGGATGTTTTTATAAGCCATGTATATGCAGCGAAGGTCAGAAAAAAATAACTTGAAAATCTGCCTCTCTACCAATTCTAGAATAGTGTCCAAAAAAAAAACAGCTCCACAAAAATAGTAATTAAAAATATTTCCAGTTAGAATTTTTTTTCATGTTCTCTCAACATCTGTTTTTCCTTCTGTTAGAGGAGCAATACACTCTAAATAAATGAAGCTTAATTAAATTCAGCCCAATCCACATATCCAGCTGCCTAAACCCAGATTTAATGCACAAAAGAGAAGGTCTTACCCAAAACTCTGAGATCCCCCTCCCCTGCCTTGGAAAATCTTCAAAAAAAAAAAATTCTTTCCACTTCGCATTGGAAAAGAGACACGAATGGCGTTTATTAGAGCACGGCGCCAAACATATGCATGCACAGACTGGCTTTAACTCAAACAGTCCCCACGAGTAAGAGGGGCCCTCCTGAACACCTGATGGGCTTCATCCAAACTACCTCCAGTCCACCATGTCGGCCCGGAGGATATTTCAAGAACTCCAATTTGCCTTGGGAAAGCCAAACTGAAGTGCATCAAGTCCTTCTTGGGAGGACTCTTCCCCTCTGCCTCCTCCCTGACGGGCTGCTGGCGTTGCTCGTAGACCTTGCTTTTGCTGCTCCCAGCTCTAACGCGAACCCAGCACATTAGACGGATCCACAAAGAAAATGGGCACTGTGGGACCAGCAAAACTAGGACGCATCGAGCACCTCCTGGACCCAAAGGGAAGCCAGAAACTTTTTGAGCTCAGAGAAGAACTAACGGATCAATGCCCTCAGCTACAGTCATGCTGCAGCCTTAGCTCATTTTAAGAAGCTTTATGATCCACAGGAAACGTTTAACAGTAAGAAGGAAACAAAGATCATCTGCCTAGTCATTACAGGCACGTTATTCCTTTATTTTAAAGCCTACTCTTAGTTTAAGAAGTGCAAACTGTACTTTTTGGACAGATCTATGTAGTGTCCTTTGTACTAATTTAGTATTTCTTGCTAACAGTTCCTTACTAAAGATTAAAATGCTCCCAAATGCCCACTCTTTACAATTTATATAGAGTTCAATAGGGAGATAAGTTATTTTTTCCCAACAATATATCTATATCTTTCAAGAAAGCCCTGCTAAGATTATTAGCAGAAACTTATCACAGCAATAGAAGAGCGTAGCATAGGTTTGTCTTTACTTGAGTAATGAAGCCAACATGCCAACACTGTAAATTTCCAAAAATGGCAGATTTACTCATTTAGGTCCATAAATATCTGCACTGTTTTTTTAATTTCATAATGGCTGACTGATCAAATACAATGTTGATTTCTCTCCCACTCACTTCTCTTTACAAAAGGCTTAAGTCTCTTAAGAAGCCACATGTGGCTTGGCAAACGCTCCCAATTGTCAAGCATATGTTGGCTGCATTTTCCCTAGGAACTGAACCATTTCAGCTCTGTTTGCACTGCAGATTTGTACGCTCCAGCACTACTCATCAAAACAACACCAGTACATATATCAGGTCAAATCAGGAGTTTGATTTATGATTTTGCTGCCCGTCATCTAACCTCTGACCGTGCACACAAGGCCTTCGGGCTGCGTGTGCAATAGATGTTTCACGGTAATTACTTGTTTTCTTTCTCTTGCTTAAATCAAATTAGGGCAGATAATCCCAGGAGGGGCCAGGGGACAAACTGCAGTGAAGAAAGAGCACTCGCACCAAGCATATGCGCGTTGTGTCATACCACATAAGTTCAGTCAGTCTCAAATTGCATTTCCCTACCACAAACAGAACATTACAGCGAGGAGCTTACAGAAAAGCTTGTGTTACATTAGATGGATGCAAGAACAGTGTCCCTGTCTCATCCCCACCCTAACCACGTGCATTGCCATTCAATAGAGACTAAAAGGGTCTTGCCTAACCCATGCCTGCCTTACTAACTTTATTTCAGCAGTGGCTCTCACAAGCCCATTTTATGGGCACAACAAACAGGAGTCACTGCTTGTTAGGTGAGGAGGTGGCACTTTCTTGCCCTCTCTACCGTGACTGCAAGAACATAAATGCAGGTACACCTCGCGAGCACAATGCATGCTCCCCAGACCAAGCTGCAGGACACAGGGGAACCACGATGGAGTTTCTCATGGAAGATCAGGTCCAGAGATAGGATGAAGACCCCAAGCTGTAACCTCCAGGGGGCAAATGGTAACAAAGGGGACAAAAAGCTTCATGCTGAACTGGTGTGAAAGGAAAGTCTCTTTGGGTCACTTCCAAATACAAATCGTACTCTGATTTAATACACTGAATTGTTTAGAAATAAATGAGTCACATATGGCACCTCTGTAGGTTACACTGCTTCAGCTGCTTTGGTGGAGACAGAAAAGAGCTCGTCACGCAAATTAGGCAAAAATGCTACAGAAATTGCGTAGATCAGGCCTTCAAAAAGGGTGGGCATGCCTGCACTGCCTAAAAGCAACCAACACCTCAACCAAGAGGCAAAGCAGATGATTTGTAGAAGGAGGCCCCGTCATGCCAAATTGATATATTCCAGTTAGTAACAATTATTGTCAAAGTGCTACTCAGAGTTTTTGGCAATAGTGAGACTATACAAAAACATTCAGATTACAGTATGGAATAGCAGCAAGACATTTACCTTTGGAGAACAGTTGAAATGCATGCCAGGTACTGGGAGTGTAGTTACATACATTGTAATACACCGATACAGGTATAGTGTGCCAACTATACAGAAGAATCTTCTGCTAATAATAGACCTAGCAGAAAAAAAGGAGAGAGAGGAAAAAAAATAAAAAGGGAGGTCATTCAATGCAAACAACATATGCAAAGGTAAATAAAACACATGAGCTAGTAACTTCTTTCTTATCGGTGCTTTTGAAACTCAGGACTTCTGATGTATTCATATGTATCAGTTTACACCTAAGCATACTGAATTACTTTACAAATTTTCCCGTGCTTTACAGGTCAGAACTACACAAAGAACTCGACGACTAAGGTTACCCATGAAGCTGATTATAGAAAATTTAACGATTGTATCATGAGAGTCTCTGCAGATTTAATGTCGGAGACACTAGCAAGGATTTCATGGCCCACATCCCTCAGTTAACTTAGAACGGGAACTAAATTTGTATTAAAGGAAGGAGATAAAGTTACAATATTTTCATTATAAAATGAAAAGGGGTAAATTGATTTCAATTGACACACACATCTATTAATTGCAAAGGGCTGTTTTGGAAGAAATAGCTTTATATGATCCAAAGGAATGAGAACAAACACTACTTCTATAGAAAACTTCAGCAGAAGTGAACAGTGGCTCCTCTTTCCAATGAGCATATCTTTCTGGAATAGCTTTAAAAAAAGGAAACAATTCACATCAGCATTGAAACTTCAGAAATACCAATACATGGTGTTTTCATGGGGAGCCACTGTTTCATGGCGAGCAGCCATCGTTTCAAGCAGATTTGTCCATTCAGGGCTGCCAATGAATTGCTGAAATACGCTGAGAGGCCAGATACAAGTTTGGGGTCCTGTAAAGCAGAGTTTTGCGAAAACAGTAACTGTACACGGTATCAAGAGCTACAGCTTCCAACAGTTTCACTGCTATGTACCAAGCAATAACATCGCAAGGGAAGAGCTACAGCAGTTAAAGATTTCCCAGCACATGAATCCATATGGCATGATGGGAGCTCTGTTCACCTGGGTTTGCAAAGCTTGCAGTAAAGAGTCACTGCAATGTAAAAGCATCAGCAAACCAAGGGCAGATCCAGTCACAACAGCTCACGAATTTGACGCCTCCAATCTTTCCGCATCCTGGTGGTTACAAATCCTGTTGGTTTTGTTTGATTTTAAATCGCTATTATTTACAAATGTGATCATTTGGACGTACAAGGATTACCATTGCTGCTTTCCAAGGGTATAACTCCTGGCATTCCTTTCTTGCTATTTTGAAATTTCCACTTCTAAAAAAGTAGTATTTCCAAGGGCTTCTACCAAGTTCAGCTCTTTTGAAGCTCAGAATTGGCCATCTTTTTTAATAGCTCTCGACAGAGTTATTAAACCATAGTGCTCCCATTCTCATGGGAGTATGACTATTAAGACGTCCAAAGTTGTTACTGATCCAGCGCTGCATTTATCAGAAAAGCTTCAAATACTACAGTGAAGCATATGAACAACGTAACTGCATTTTGTTACACTTTCAAGTGCTCACTGCTATTGAAACATAGTATTTTTCAGGGTTTTTTCCTTCCCTGTGCAAACAGGGACAAAATTGGGAATTTAAAAAAAAAAAAAATCATACTTCATGATGTACTGAAATGTAAGAGTTGAAGGCACTATGCCATTAAGGAAGTCGTTTTCATCTGTTTTTCATATGTGGAATTTTTCTGTTGGAAGGGTCATCCACTAAAGATTTCACACCTGTGCCTAGTTTTCATAATCATATATGAACTTGCTTCTCTTTATAACCTGTTGTAAAGACAATGGAGGGCTTAGGGATTCAAGACTGAGAAGCACCACATTGGAGAGACCTAAGAAGCAGTAGTGCTTTACCTAGCACTGAACATTTCAGCCACTTTTTATTAACAAAAATCAACAGAGCTACATGGTTTGACTGGATTTAGTGTACTTAGCTTAGAAAAGTCTGTGTCAGTGTGCTGTCTGTACTGTAATATATTAAGATGTAAAAAGCCACATATTTTCAGTTCAAAATAGGATTTTTTTTTTCTTGCAATTATGGGGTCCTATTCAACATCACCATGCAGTATCAGCTAATAAACATATTCTCTAAGCTTATTACTGGCCAGGACAACCTATCAGGGTTTGCAACAACTATCCAGCCCTCACCTAACGGGCTCTGTGGGGGTAGCAAGTACACTGCTTTTTCAATCCTGTGAGCATGCAGGCTGCATCAAACGTCAAGCGCGGCCAAGAACCACCACCGTACTTCTCCAAAGACATCTGGGAACGCTTCTCAGAAAACTTGGCTGTGCATCAGCAGTACTCGCAGATCGGCAGCTTGCCTAAATTCCTCCAGTTCCCTACGTTCTCTTGTGAAAAGGGCTCGGCCAGCCCAAGAAAGGCTCCAGCCAAGACCTGCACACCCACCCTGCTCCACCTTTCAAAAGGAGCCAGAGAAAGCAGGCACCTTTCTCCTTGCATCACATCCAGCCAACTGCTGAGCACTGAAGCTTTCATTCTGGAGGAAGCTTGCAGAGCAGGTAGGACAAAGCCAGTCAGAAACCCTATTCTCTAACCAAAGATAACCTTAAACTCTCTGGAGTCAAGACTGCACAGGACCTGAGTGAAACTGCTCTGTTAGAGCTAATGGACCAACGACAAATAAAAAGAAAGGCATTCTTATACTCCTGGATCCCTGCGAAACATTCAGCACAGAACAAATAACTCTTTCAGGCTCAACTCAACAGGGGCCAAGGGAAACATCGTACCGTGGTCCGTCAGGTTCTTTCATGGACAGACACACTCAACACCCGTCTATTTAGACCACGACTTTGAAGTCACACAAAAGGTAGGTCCTATTCAACATCACCATGCAATCCCTGGACTAAATGGTGAGACAAGGAAGGTGTGAGTGATCAGCAATGCGAATGATACACACCTCTATCATCCTTCACCACTTCTCAGAATAGCAGGCTAAGCTTGGGTGAAATCAGGTTATTGCTAAATAATGTATCGGGTATGACAAGCAATTGAAGTTTCACTGCTGGGCAAAGAAAAGTATTTCTAGGAAGCAGCCTGCTTTCACTGAAGGTTCAACCCAGGCACTGGTTACAGTTCAGCTCAGATGCAACACTTCTGGTTCATCAGTGATCCTGAACTTTCACTTGGAGACATCTGTGAATGCACTGTGAATCTCTGTCATCTGACTACGCTAGGAAATGGTTTCATCCTGGCCAGCAATCACTTGGCTTCACTTCATATCTTCACATCTCCAGCGGACTATCCCAAAACCATTAGAGACTAGAAAAGCGAGGGAGGTCCAGCTAGCTTCATTTCCTCTCTTTATTCTTGCATTAGTTTCAAAGGGAGGAGGTAACTCATGCCACAAAAGTGCTCTTTTATAGCACTTAGTCATTCACCATCCAAAGCCACAAATAAGCCACAGCACCGAGCTCTTCTAATGAACATCTCTCCCATTCTTCCCTTTCTGCTTCTTACAGGCAGCTCAGGACTATCAGACTTTGACAGATGTAAGGCTCAAAACCTTCCGACAGTCCTTTTCTATGCGCTGAGGGTGAAGAATATCTGACATCTGTCCATTTCCCCCCAGTATTCAACTTGTACTAAAAACAGCAAGAAGGATCTGGCCCGTGCTGTCACACACAAGAGGCAGTGGCTTCTAAAACCTTCCTCCTGCAAATACATTTATGACAGGAGTTTCACCAATGCAGTTTAGGAAGGCTTTAAAAGTTATTTCCCACACCACAAATCTTGGTGCCACTACCGCAACTCCGAGGAGTTTTTTGGGTCTCCATTGTCCATCTTTTCTATTCTTGCTGGAAATATCTCAGTTTGGATTGGGAAGCCTACTGAGAAAAAGCAAAAAATGGTCAAGGATCTTTCTAACTGTAGATGATAGCCCCGTTCATTGATATGCAAGAAGAAAGGTTGCAAAAGCATTAGGTGACCAGTACACAGACTGACCAGTACAGAATAGCTAGTCCAGGACTGCTATTGGAAAGTGAAAGCGGTGGATGAGCCTCCCCAACATCTTTCGCTTACCCCAGAAAGAGAGGTCTCCTCCTGAAGCAAGTAAGGAGGAACATAACAAAGCACAGGGAGGGGAGGAATCCCTACATCTATCAATGACATCAAATACTTTGCTGTCAAGTCAAACCATCTCTCACTGAAATCTCCAAGGACCTTATGGATAATATATTTGAAGACCCTGCTCAGCTCCATCACAGGGTGTTTGGATCCCTCATACTACCTTGCCAACCTGACTCTCCATTTTTGAAAGTGATCTCATGTCACCTTCTCCGAATACTTCCCTCGGTTGTAAAAAAAAGATTTATGCTCAGAGAGGTCAAGTTAATGCTCCCTCTAGGTCACTGTGGGCAAGTCAGAGCAGTGGGGACAGGAATCACAGTGCTCAGCACTGCAGCTATCAACATAGGAGTCTAATACCAAAGCTTGTAGCCCTAAACAAAATAAGAGGCCAAACCAGGGTAAATTTTTTCTCCCAGGCATCTGGGTACATTAAAAAAAACAAAACAAAACAAACAAAAGCAAACAAAAAACCCTACAGTTTCTTAGTGTCCTACAATAAAATAAAGGATGGAATAACTTAACCATTCTAGAAACTTTCCTTTAAGGAGTGCAAGTTCTGCAAAAGTGTACAGTGGTTTTAAAATTGCAGCTAATAAAATACATCAGCTAGTATAAAGCAATAGGAAAGATGATAAAACCATTGTCTCAGAACTGATTTATTTCTCCAGCACTCACTTTATGTATTAATGACCTTTAAATTTCATAAAATAATGGAGGGTTTGTTTTTTTTGGTTTTTTTTTGCTTTTTTATAGATAAATTTACCCTGCTGGATGGGAAGTGCTCATCAGCAATGCATTACTGAGAATATGCAGAGCAAAAGCTGACTCTCCAGGATGTTCGAGTTAGCTCTCAGGGATGAAAAGTTCACAGCATCACGTGGATTATTTATTTGACAGATTCCTATAGAAATCCCCAACCGTGTTGCACAAGTTTATCCTGCCTGAGCTTAGCAATTCTCTCTTTTCAAGCTGACCGTACCTCAGGAAGCTGGTGAATACCATGCTTATATTCGAGTTCAGTTTTAATGTTTTTCTCTGTTATAAGGGTCAGTGATCCATTGGCCTCTGTTTTTCTCTTTTAAAAAGTGAAGTCTGGAATTCCAAAGTCATTACAAACTCCCGTGAACTGAAGAACCTTGTATGTAACATGTTGTCGCTCAAATTATGCCTTCCTCAGTTTTCTACATAGGAGTCCTCTCCC